TTTCATGATATTGGGGAAGTTTTCTGTCAGCAGTTCTTCAATGATCCTCTCTGTGTTTTCTGTTTTTTCCCCCTGTTCTGGAACTCCAATCACTCACAGATTTTTGCTTTTGATTATATCCCACATAATTCTCAGGGCTACACCCTAAACCAGTTAAATCAGAATCTCTGGGAGTGTGACCAGGCATTAGCTTTTTGAAAAACTCGCTAGGTGATTCCAGTATGTAGCCAGGGTTTAGGAGCAGTGATCTAAAGTAGAGTGTCCACAAACTTCTTCTGTAAAGGGCCAGATTGTAAATATTTTTGGCTTTTAGGGCCATATGGTTTCTTTCACAACTACTCAACTCTGCTGTTGAAGCTTGAAAGCAGATATAGAGAATCTGTAACAAATGAGTGGTTGCATTTCAGTAAAACCTATTTCTAATAATAGGGGGTGGCCCCGAGTTTGCAGACCCCTGATCCTAAAGGCTAAGTGAAGGTGGATTGGCACTGCCTGTTTTGGTTCTTCATATTGGATGTGCTTAATCACTTAAGGAAAGAATATACACTCTAGCGTTGAAGATGAAATGTTAAAATGCTAACACTTAAATTTGTGCTTAATTCTAGCTGCAAAAGACAAGGAAAAGAATAAAGAGAAGAAATTCAAAGAGTTTGTGAAAGTGAAGCCAAAGAAAAAAAAGAAAAAGAAAAAGAAAGCCAAGCCTGGTAATTTTCCCCCTGAGAAGGTGTTTCATTTGGATTTCCTTACCAAGGGTGGGGAGGAGTTGCTTTCTCCCATTCCTGGCCCCAGAGCCTGCACTGAGGGGAGGAGGCGCCCCTGCTTATAGGCTGTTCCTAGCATGGGCTCTGGCAGGGAGGAGCCCATATACCCTGGGTGTTTCAAGGCCTGGTTGGCATTTATAAAACCCCTCCCTGGCATTGGCCAGTGTGCGTTGTTACAAGGCAGTGCACATGAAAGCATCAAAGTGGGAGAGAATATGCAGATGAATGACTCTTAAACCTACATCTCTGAACCCTTTCCAGAAAGGGTTCACTTCTTGAGGGATTTGTATGTCTAGCCCCCCACAAAAAGGTTGATTTTTAATAAAATTGGTGTCCCAACCTTGGGAGTCAAAGGAATACCAACATCTTATTCTCAACATACTTTCTGACAGAAAAAAAGTCTTATCAGAAAAAAGAAGAGGGGTGATAGTGAGGAGGAAGCATTTGGTTTTGAAGTCCTTTAAGGTAGCTGAGATTACTAAACCCTGAATCTGGTCTGCAAACCCTTTTGTGCTTGAATTGCCGCCGAGCCTTTGAGCTATTTGAGCAGCAGGGCTGTTGATTGGATGGGATTGATTCTGGGATGCCCTGATGATGTCTGGGGTTGCTCATTCCTTCCTGATTCTGTTCTTCCAGAATGCCCCTGCAGTGAGGAGGTCAGTGACACTTCCCAGGAACCTTCCCCACCCAAGACATTTGCTATTACCAGGTGTGGGACCTCACACAAGCCTGGGGTCCACATGAGCCCGCCTCTCCATGGCTCAGAATCTGGAAACCACAAAGGAAAAGGAAAAGTATCTGGTAAGGAGGCTCTCTGCTGGTCTTACCATTTGCACCAAACTGTAGTCTGAGAAGACTGGATTTATGTTGTTACTGTAATCTACTTCTCAGGCCCTCTGCAAAGTGTGATCTGTTGTATTTTTAAAATAAGAAGTACATCAAATAAGATAAAGGCCATTAGCTGTGCCTTCCCTGAACTTCTCTTTGGTCTTAGTGGAATGTCTCTTGAGGTACCTCTAAGCCAGCGAATAACCAGATCCATTATTTGCACCCCCCCACATGCACATCTGTCCCTCCATTCCTTGTTGATGGCCTCTGCATCTAATCTGATTGTTTAGGGGGAAATCTGAGTCATCCCTGAAACTTCACTTTCTCCAGCAACTTATAAGGTGATTGTGAGTTTAAAAGGAATTAATACATATATGGAAAGTACTTAGAACAGTGTCTGGTACAGAGTAAGTGCTCAGTGAAGGTTAGCTGTGATTGTCTCTAATCAGGCACAATCTTAGTGATTCTGGTTCTGATTATCCCTGCCTCCTCCTCCTTCCCCACTCTCTACAGAGTTTTAAAGGTGTCTTTGGATACAGGCTGATGATAAGCCAGGTCCTGGCTGGATGGGGCGAGGTTGACAGACACGTTTGAGTCATTAAGGGTGATCTGTGTGGGTCATGGGGAGCTGTAGCTGCTCTGCCAGTGAGCCCTGTGACCATGAGCAGACGCTTACCTTGGGCTTCACTTTCAGTAGAATGAGGAAATGGAGTTGAGGTCATTGCTAGGCAGCCTATGTTGTTTGGGCTGTTATTAGATGACAGGGCCGAGAAACTGATTGGAGTCTCCATTTCCCAGCTCTGTGAAAATTCAGAGGAGTGGGTCTGTAAGGTCATTTTCTACTCTGACAGTCCAGGATGTTTTTATTTTATAATTGTAATTTAAGATAGTGACTGTTGTTTTCCCTTTCCTCCCAGAGGAGGATAATCTGAGTGAGTCCTCTTCCGAGAGCTTTCTTTGGAGTGATGAGGAGTATGGCCAAGACGTTGATGTGACCACCAACCCAGATGAGGAACTTGATGGGGATGACCGTTATGATTTTGAGGTGGTCCGCTGCATCTGTGAGGTCCAGGAGGAAAATGACTTCATGATTCAGGTAGGCAGAGCTGCCAAGAGACAGGCTTAAGTATAAACTGGTCCTTAGAGGAAATTTTGAGAGACTACTGTATTTTTATGCAAGTAACACACGTTATTTGCATAAAAATATGGTATAGTTTGAGGCCACCAAAAATGACAAATCAATAGCCCCAGATAAGCAGTATTGTTGGCAGCAGACTGAGCTTTGCTACCTGGTTTGTCTTCCTCCGAATTCCAGGATGGTGTAAATAGTTCTTTAATAGAATATGAGGGGACTTGAGGGATCGCTGAGTCTAAACCTCTCATATTCTGCTTGAGGCAGGTGGGACCCATAACTGGGAAGGGCCTTACCTGTGGTCACACAGTGAGGAGTTGAATAGCAGGGACCCAAATCTCTAGAATAGCAGTTTAATCTTCTTCCTATGGATCCACACCTTTTCTTCGAGGTAAATTTTCTTATGGCCTAAAGAAATTTGTTTTCCTGACATTTGTATCTGTCACATCTATCTCTGGACTGTGCCTGTAGGGTGGGCCCCTCCCTACCTGCTTGTAGAGACCATCCCTGGCCAGCACCTGCTTTCCTCTGGCCATCTTTTTCTACTTGCAGTTCTAGGGGAGGTAGCTGCTGTCTGGCTGACTCTGGAGCTGTCACAAGTACCCTGGGTTCTTGGCAGCTGCCCAGCGTGGTATAGTTGAGGAAACCTGACTTTTTAAATTAAGCCATGGTTATATTGGTTGGGATTTTTTGGGAGGCTAGTACAAATACTGTTGGGAAAATAGACTGGGTCCTGGAACCCAGGGGCCAGGGTGCAGTCAGGCTCAAAGGCCTTGAATTCCATCTTGAGGGGGCTTAGTCTACCTCTTTTCCTGCATCTCCTGGGAGTCCACTTGGTTCTTTTTGCTACAGGCCTGTTTTATTGGAAAATGCAAAGTGGTCATCCATGTCCCTGCCCCCCTTAAATTTATGCCTTTGTATTCAAGAGACTAACAAAAACAAATCAAACCTGTTGCCATGGAGTCGATTCTGATTCATGGTGACCCCATGTGTTATAGAGTAGAACTGCTCCATAGGGCTTTCTTGGCTGTAGTAGTTACAGAAACAGCTCGCCAGGCCTTTCTTCCTCAGAGCTGCTGGGTAGGTTTGAACTGCCAACTTTAGTTTAGCAGTCAGTCAGAAGCTGTGACTCCCCAGGCTGAAATTGGAATCTCAGTCCTAACTCTCTAAGTTTCTGGGGAAGGAATTCCAACCTGATTTGGGTCAAATGTTAGCCTTTGGATCAATCCCCTGTGGGCAGTGGGGGAAATTAGGCTCAGTATTGGTCAAATGCCCACCTTTGGTCTAGTTATCTGGTCTGGTGGTGGTAGAGGCTCGGAGTATGGGTAGGGTCACATTGAACAAAAGGACTGCCTGGGGCCTACCTCTGTCGTGGTTGGAGAGTAGGGGTTGTCCACGAAAAAGGCCAAACCTCCTCGGCCTGGCTTTCATGTTAACATTTTATTTGCTTGCCCTTATCACGCTGTAGGTCGGCATGGCATCAATTTTGAAATTCTGTTTTGGACCTTGACTTAATATACAGCTAGATTTATTATGCCTCTGATCTTTGATTTTGTCTTCCTTATGCTCAATAATCTCATTTCCTTTGATTTTTTGAAATATTGAGGCTTTGCCATAGTTCTGTCAACTTTCGGAAGGACCAGAGATTGAAAGAAATGTACAGAGAAGTCCCGTGAATTTCCTCCCCTACACCTCCTCATGCCAACATCCCACACAACCACAATACAGAATCAAAACCAAGAATTGACATTGGCACAATCCATAGAGTTTATTCAAATTTCACCAGTTATACGTGTACTCATTTGTGTGTGTGTATGTGTATATGCAGTTTTGTCACTTGAGTGGCCTTGTATAACCACCGCCACAATCAAGATACTCAACTGTACCATCACAACAAGACTCCCACGTGTTACCCCTTTATAACCACACTCATCCCCTCCCTGTCATCCCTAACCTCTGGCAACCACTAATCTGTTCTACACCTCTGTAATTTCATGGTTGTTACATAGATGGAATTGTGCAGTGTATATCTTATTGAGAGTAGCTTTTTTCACTCAGCATAATTTCCTTGGGGTTCATCCAAGTTGTTCCATGTCTTCATAGTTCATTCCTTTTTATTGCTGAGTAGTATTCTGTGGTATAGATGTGCCACAGTAATGCTCTTTTTATGAATAGTAGTGACTATGTATAGTTGAGTAGTGATTTAAAGTTTCTGGAGTATTTTCACAAATATCATTTCACCCTAAGTAAGACTGTCCGAAGTCATTTATTTTTCCCATTTTATAGGTGGGAAAACAAAATCATGGAGATATTAATGACTTGCCCATGGTTGTAGAACCATTAAATAGGTTATCAAGTTATGATTTGAACCCAGAACTCCCAGTCAAGTGTTCTTTCCCCTATGCTGCCTTGGTTCTGGGGAACCATATTTACAATTAAATAAAACAAAATTTGGTTTCGACATAAGTAACAATGCACAAATACCAGAAGAGAAACTAAATAACTGGGAGCTTCTAAAAATCAAACACTTAGGCTCATCAAAAGACTTCACCAAAAGAGTAATAAGACAACCTACAGACTGGGAAAAATTTTTTTGGCTCTGACAAATCCAATCAGGGTCTAATCTCTGAAATCTACAAAATACTGCAAAACTTCAACAACGAAAAGACAAATAACCCAGTTAAAAAAATGGGCAAAGGATATGAGCAGGCACTTCACCAAAGAAGATATTCAGCCAGCCAACAGACACATGAGGAAGTGTTCATGATCATTAGCCATTAGAGAAATGCAAATGAAAACTACAATGAGATACCATCTCACCCCAACAAGGCTAGCATTAATCCAAAAAACAACAAAATAATAAATGTTGGAGAGGTTGTGGAGAGACTGAAACACTTATACGCTGTTGGTGGGAATATAAAATGGTACAACCACTTTGGAAATCAATTTGACACTTCCTTAAAAAGCTAGAAATAGAAGTACCATACAATCCAGCAATCCCATTCCTTGGAATATACCCTAGAGAAATAAGAGCCATCACACGAATAAATATATGCACACCCATGTTCATTGCAGCACTGTTATTTAGCAAACAGATGGAAGCAACCTAGGTGCCCATCAGCAGACAAATGGATGAACAAATTGTGGTATATTCACACAGTGGAATACTACACAATGATAAAGAACAATGATGAATCCGTGAAACATCTCATAACGTGGATGAATCTGGAAGGCATTATGCTGAGTGAATTTAGTCAGTCGCAAAAGGTCAAATATTGTATAAGACCACTATTATAAGAACTCAAGAAAAGGTTTCAACACAGAAGAAAACATTCTTTGATGGTTACGAGGGTGGGGAGGGAGGGAGAAGGGTATTCACTAACTAGATAGTAGACAAGAATTATCTTGGGTGAAGGGAAGGACAACACACACTACAGAGGAAGTCAGCACAACTGGACTAAACCAAAAGCTAAGAAGTTTCCTGAATACAACCAAACTCTTCGAAGGACAGAGTAGCAGGGGCGGGGGTCTAGGGTCCATGGTTTCAGGTGACATCTAGGTCAGTTGGCATAACAAAGTTTATCAAGAAAGTGTTCTGCATCCCACTTTGGTGGGTGGAGTCGGGGGTCTTAAAAGTTAGCAAGCGGCCATCTAAGATGCATCAATTGGTTCCAACCCACCTGGAGCAAAGGAGAATGAAGATCACTGAAGATGCAAAGAAAATAATTAGCCCACGAGACAGAAAGGGCCACATAAACCAGAGACTTCATCAGCCTGAGACCAGAACTAGATGGTGCCGGGCTACCACCAATGACTGCCCTGACAGGGAACACAATAGAGAGTCCTTGATGGAGCAGGAGAAAAGTGGGGTGCAGAACTCAAATTCTAGTAAAGAGACTAGACTTAATGGTTTGACTGAGACTGGAGGGACCCTGGAAGACATGGCCCCCAGACTGTCTGTTAACCTAGAACTAAAACTATTCCCGTGGTCAACTCTTCAGACAAAGAGTAGACTGGACTGTAAGACATAAAATGATACTCATGAAGAGTGTGCTTCTTAGCTCAGGTAGACACATGAGACTCCATGGGCAGCTCCTGTCTAGAGGTGAGATGAGAAGGCAGAAAGGGACAGGAGCTGGTTGAATGGACACTGGAAGTCCAGGATGGAAAGGAGGAGTGTGCTGTCACAGCGTAGAGAGACCAACTAGGGTCACGTAACAATGTGTATAAATGTTTGTATGAGAAGCTAACTTGAATTGTAAACTTTCACTTAAAGCACCACAAAAAATTTTTTTGGTTTTGAAATATAATGTCATTGTCTAGCTGGCTGACCAACCTCACCACCACCACCAGGATACACACATGGCATACACTCCTTAGGCTGGAGGAGTTTCTTTTCTTTTTGAATAGGTGTCCGTAGTAGCCTCTGGGAATTCAGGGTTACATGAATGGTCTCAAACAGTACTCATGATCTTAGTATACTTTAGGTCAGTGGTTTTCTAACTTTTTCAGCATTAGAACCCCTTTTTCTAATGGAATCTTTCACAGAACTTCGAAATGTATAACAGGTAAAAGCAGTAGTTTTGAAAGTTCAGAATATTTGATCTTCACTTTTAAGGTCAGAAATGTGAATGGCGGACACGTTCCTGTGAAGTCTGACATCAAGTCAGGTTGTGAGTGACAGTTGCCAACTTGGAGCACTTCAGTGGCTCATTCACTTTTCTCTTTTTGATTATACAACAGTGAGACAAGCTTGATGCATGTGGCCATTGCAGGGGTGACTTTTTCTAAACCTCATTCTGTGTAGTCACTTTGATTAACCGGAGATGGGAGGAAAAGTTTTGATCTGAGGATAGCGTAATATTGAGTTTAAGCTAGCAGAACAAGATTATGTGTAGTGGTGGGCACTATTGTCTTAGTATTTGGGATGGAACACATTTGAATGTGCATGTTTTGAATAATCC